CAATGTATCCATTGACAAGTTACTGTCTCCTCAGTGTTGTAATGTTATGGAAGTAAAAGGTACAGTTTAGTATTTGTTACATGTTTTCGCAAATGAGGAAAAAAGAATAAATTTTACTTGTGTTCTTTGCATTGTTTTATAAGGCAATTGTTTATTACAATGTTACAACTTTTATAAATAATATATTTAAATGACTTGTGTTTTAAAACTAGAGATGTATCACTGAGTTCATAGGACTCCCAGCCTTTTTAATGGCTTTAAAAAAATTGAGTTTAAACTTGGATAATAAAATTGGGAATAGAGATTTAAACGATATGAGTGATCATGTCCTACTTTGGGAACAGAATTTAAAAACAAAGAGAACAGTGTGTGATAATAAGCTCTGTCCTAGAGACACAGCTTTATACAGCAGAGTGGATTGGCGAGTTAGTGGTATGGGAGTTAAACTAACCGGCCGCTCTCTGGGAAAAAGAAGCTGTCAGATCCCTTGACGATTACAGCCCTGAAAACCTGGCGGAGCAGTTCTACCAAGTCCCAAAGGCCTATTTACATCAGATTCGTGCGTGTGCGTGTACGTGTGTGTGTGTGTGTGTGTGTGTGTGTGTGTGTGTGTGTGGTGTTAGTCGGGATTCAAAGTTAAAGAATTGGCTGTAATCAGAACTTTAATTTTGAAACATTTTTTCCTTATATATTCTTTGGAACGTCCTAGAATTCTTCACCTTCTCTTTGCATGGGTATGTAATGGGAAGGGAAGAATAAAAAACCAAAAACATTGCACTGCCATCCAGCTCATTCCGATTTACCGTGTCTCTGTAGGACGGCGGAGAACTGACCACAGGGTTCCTGGTACTGTCATCGTTTCAGAAGCTCACTGCCTCATCTTCTTCCTCAAGTTACTGGTAGGTTCCAACCACCTCCTACTTTGGGCTTATCACCTGAATCCTGCAACCATACTGCTACCAGAGTGCCTCTGTGGTGGTGGTGGTATTGCTGCGTTGACTATGACTTATAGCAACCCGATAAACCATAGATCTGGACCCTGTCCTGTCCTTGTCATCCTCATCGTCTGTCACACTCGAGCCTATTGCCACAGTCACTGTGTCAATCCATCTAGTTGAGAGTCTTCCTCTCTTTCACTAACTCTCCCTTTCCCCCTAGTAGGATTCTCTAAGAAATAGCCTCTCCTAGCAACATGTTCATGGGCCGGAGCCAATGGTCATGAAAAAAGAAGTTGAAGCTGCATTGAAGGCCTTGGCAAATATAAGGCCCCAGGAATTGATGGGGTATCAACTGACATATTTCAAATACCCATCCACCCCTGGATGTGCTCACCAGTCTATGCCAGGAAATCTGGAGGACAGCTGCCTGGCTGGCTGACTGACTGACTGAAAGATAGCCATATTTGTTCCCATTCTGAAGAAACGTGATGCAATAGAATGTGAAACTGTCAAACAGTATCATTAATATTACATGCAAGTAAAATATTGTGAAAGATCATTCAAGAGCGGCTAGAGCCGTACATAGACACAGAACTTCCAGAAGTTCAAGTTGTATTAAGAAGAGGCCACAGCACCAGGGATATCATTGCTGATGCCAGATGGATCTAGGTGGAAAGCAAAGAATACCAGAAGAATGTCCATTTGTGTGTTATTGACTATGACTGTGTGGATCATAACAAATTATGGCTTACATTGAGAAGAATGGGAATCTCAGAACACTTAATTGTGACCAATCAAAACCTATCCCTGAAAACAAACAAAAAACCCCTATGCCTGGATCAAGAGGCTGTTGTGTGAACAGAGCAAGGAAACACTGCATGGTTTAAAATTGGGAAAAGTGTGCATCAGGACTATTCAATCTGTATGCTAAGCAAATTATTCAAGAATCTCAACTCTATGAAGAAGAATGTGGCCTCACCATTGGAAGGAAACTCATCAATAACCTTTGTTATGCAGATGACACAATCTTGCTTGCTGAAAACGAGGAGGATTTGAAGAGCTTGCTATAGAAGATCAAAGATTACAGCCTTAAATATGGATTGCATCTCAACATCAAGAGAAAAAAATTCTCACCACTGGACCTATAGGCAACATCATGATAAATGGAAAAGGTTTAAATTGTCAATGACATCATCTTACTTGGATCCACAAGTAATACACTTCCTAAGAGCAGTCAAGAAATCAGGAGATGTATTGCACTTGGAAAGTCTGCAGTCAGGGACCTCTCCAAATTTCTGAGGAGCAGTGATGTTAGTTTGAGGATTAAAGTGTGCCTGTTAAGATCCTGGTCTTTTCAGTCACTTGCTATGCATCAGAGAGCTGGACAATGAATAAGGATGACAGAAGAATAGATTTTTTTTTAATAGTGTTGGAGAGGAATCCTGAATATCACCTGTACTGCAAAAAAACAGCAACAAACAGACATACCTTGGAGAAGGTGCAGCCAGAATCCTCCTTGGGGACAAAAATTCTTAAACTTCTTAAACTCTGATCATCTTTCTAGGAAAGGATATTCATTGGGGAAGGACATGATGCTTGGGAAGGTGGAGGAATCATCAAAGAGAGGAAGACCATCGACCAAGTAAGTGATTGACACAGTGGCTGCAGCCATAGGCTCGAGTGTGTCAGAGATTGTGAGAATGGTAAGGACGGGACAGGGTTCAGATCTGTTCTTCAAAGGGTTGTAGGACTCAACAGCACCTAACAAGAAGAAGCAACATGTCCAAAATATGTGAGACGAAGCTTTAACACTTTTGCCTCCAAGAAGCCCTCTGGCTGCACCTTCTCCAGGACATATGTTCCTTCTTTTCACCGCCCATGGGATATTCAGTACTCCTCTCCAACATTGTCCTGAATCAGTTGCATCTTAGTCCTCAAACTGACACCATTGCTCCTCAGTAATTTGGAGAGGTCCCTGACTGCAGACTTTATCAAAATGCATACATATCCTGATTGCTGGTACCAAGGCTGTTGATTGTAGATCCAAGTAAGAGGAAGGTGTTAGGCAAAGCAAACTCATTTTTTAAAAGAATTTTATACTTTGAATAGTTTTTATTAGCTGTCAAGTATATTTTAACCTTGACAAGCCCCTTCCCTTTAAAAAAAAAAAGTTACAAGCTCTCTCAGCTTCGTCAACGGAACAAACACCACTCAGAAGACCCTGCCAAAGCCAGTTAGGTAGTGGGAGTCTTTATGTGTTCTAGGAAAGCCCAACCACATATGCTGTCGTTGCTACGTACTTTTGTCAGAACTGACTCATCACTGGCCCTCCAGAGGATTTTCAGAGGCAGTAAATTGCATGGGAAGAGCTTGCCCAACTTTTCCCACTGGGGTAGCTGCTGGATTCAAACCGCTTTCCTTTAGGATGGCAGCACAATTTACTACTCAGGCAAATATGGTTTTTTGTTTTTATATTTTTTATTAATAATTTTAGTGAACATTTACAGAGATTTTGGATTTCCATTCATTCATCGCTGTGAGGTCGAGTCGCCTGCGACGCATAACTCTGAACCCTTCCTTGTCCTGAGCCAGTCTCACTAACACCGACACACCAACCCCCATTGGCCCAGTCACTGTATCAATCCATCTTATCCAGGGTCTTCCTCCCCTGTGCTGTCCCTCCACCCTTCTGAGCATGATGTCCTTCAAGGACCGGTCTCCCCTGCCCACGTGCCCAAAGTATGTGAGATGGAGCTTCAAAATCCTAGCCTCCAAAGATATATGTTGTTGTTATGTGCCATCTAATCACTTCCGACGCATAGCGACCCTATGTACAACAGCCCTAAACCCTGCTCTATTTCTTGCCAGTCTCACTGTCTCCGACACGCCTACCCCCTTTACCCCAGTGAAGGAATCAATCCATCTCATGGAGGGTCTTCCTCTCCTGCGCTGTCCCTCCACCCTCTCAAGCATGACGTTCCTCTCCAAGGACTGATCCCTTCTTGCAACATGTCCAAAGTAGGTCAGACAAAGCTTAAGAATCCTTGCCTCCCTATAGGTTAGACTTATTCTCTCCTATCTATTCCTCTGTGCTGTGAAACGTCTCTGGAGAACTTCAAAGAGCATTATTATTGCAATAAATTTCCCAATTCCTTGCGTCTTTCGGCCGTTTTAGGGGACAGATGGAGGGTTGGTCAACCAGAGGGGACAAGGAAGGCTTTGCCGTGCTGCAGCATTCAAACACTGAGTCACTCCATCTACTTAAAAAATAAAAAGTTCACTCACACAAAAGAAAATTAAAGCAACTTTGCTAGTAAACAGTTCCCACAAAAAAAGAAATAAATAAAAGGAAGACAGAACAAGGAGCTGATGATGATCACTAGTAGTAGCGAGAATGGCCGGCAGGTGGCTCAGCGGGGCAGGAAGCTCTGGAGAGCCCTGGCAGGTAGATGGCAGGAGAATGGGCAATGCCACCACGTGACACCTGTCACATCCTCATCAGCGCAAGCTTGACTCACCATCACACAAACAGGGAAAAGGCAATCGAGCAAACAAGGCCAGGCCCTAATGACCACCTTCCTAGAGACCAAGGCGGGGACGGTGGAGAGAGGGGTCTTCGGTCCCTGTGATGGACACTAGATTGCCCGCTACGCTATCTTGAAGGTGTCCCTTGGCCCTTCTGGGATAAATCTGCGGCCAACAGGAAGTGAGTGGCAACCCGCCGCTCTGCCCTTGGCCCCGCGGGGAAGCAGCTCTGACTGAGCCCTTGGAGCCGCTGTCCTCGGTCCCTGGACAGCTCCCCAAGGACCGCCTCCGCCTGTCGCCCCGCCCCTCTACCTCCGGCCTGCCCCTCTACTTCCGGTCTCTGTGACTAATCTAACGCTCTAAGGCCCAGCCGGAAGTCGCGGCTCAGCTTCCGGGGACCCTTCTAAACATCCCCCCTCCCCATATGTGCAGCTGGAAGCGGAAGTGCTCTCCTGTTTCTGACTTCTGCGCGGCATCGCGAGACTTGTCCTGCCCGTAACTTCCGGCCTCTTGCCGCTCTTGGGTTTCGGCTTCGCGATGCGGACGCGGCTTCTCTGGGGGGTGGCCCGCTCCCTTTGGTCCCGCGGGACTCTCGACCAGCCCCGCCGGCGCCTGAGCTGCGGAAGTCCGCAGGTGGAGGAGCTGTTCGCCCGCGGCGGGCCGCTGCGGGCCTTCCTGGAGCGCCAGGCAGGGGCTGAAGTCCAGTCCCGAACGAGGACACCGGCGCTGGCTGCGGTGGCCAAACTCCTGAGCGAGAAGGAGCATGAGCTGCGCGAGACGGAGCACTTGCTGCACGGTACGGGGCGAGGACGCAGGGATCATGCGGGGGCGTCCCCAGGGTTGGTCTCCCCTCCCCTGCAGAATCCGTAATGTTTACTGTCAGCTGTAAACGGATTGTGATACATAGAATTGTGAATTGCATAAATGTGGTTCTTAGATCATGTAGAGCACTCACGAAATTTATAACATACTTTTGTTAAAGTACCTTTAACTGTTACGTTAAGACCTCAGTGAGAGCCTTTTTAAATTTTTTTTTCCCTTTTGCTTTAGTACATCATTCTCCAAAAAGTTGCTGGTCCAAGATTACAAACAGTAATCGCCATAGTGTAGCCAGGACATCAGCAAATTTGACAGTTATCAACTATAAAAAATGGACAGCACTCAGGAGAGACTTGGAGTCAGCTAGTGTTGCCAAGTGAGACCACGTGATTGCAAGCGCCATTGTGATTGGGTGATGTTGACAGCTCCTCCCTGAGTGTATCAGAGGGTTCTGAAAAGTGACTAAGAATGCGGTTTTAGCCTTGTTGGTATGCTAAGACGTGTCAGCTGTTTTGTGGTTGTTTTTTTAAAGGGTTTGTTGCTATAACTAAGGACAGAGATAATTTTGTTTAAATATAAGTGGATTTCTGCCAAAACAGTGTACACAAGTATTTTTTTAAATAATTTTTTTTATTTTAATTGTCATTTTAACAAAAATTTACAGAAAAGATAGGTTTTTGTTCACTCATTGTTGCACATTTTACCCCCTCTCCCTCCCTTTCTCCTCTCCAATGTACACAAATATTTTTATGGGTCATTTTGGTGTCACCCCCTCAGACAGTGCAGTCAATGCCCCCATCTCGAGGAACACCAATGAGAAGTGCCACTTCATTTGTATTTTCCACCAAGCCACTGGCGAGGTATCCACAGTCTACCCAAATTTGAGGGTCTGGATATAGGTATTGCCTCTTTGTTTGGGTCAGAGGGAGATGCAATTGATCTTTCATTGCACACCCAAGTGCTTAACTTCTGTGCCACCAGGGCTCCTTCATAGTGTCCACAGGGACAGGTAAGACTGTTCTCTGTCATTGTCATGACATTGACATCGACTCACAGCAGACTCTCCATTGAGTTTCTGAGACTATTCGTCACACAAGAGCAGACTGCCCACTTTCCTCTCTTGAGTTGGCTGGTGGATGCGAACCCTTAGGTAAATGCAGCCTTTGTGTTAGCAGTGCATCTCTCCATGGACTATGCCACCAGACCTCCAGGACAGGTATGAGTCAGTTACCTTTTCTAAGATAAAGACACTGAAGGATTAGCAAGAGTTAGAATGGAACACAAGAGAGACGACTATAACATGCTAATGTTCTGTAAGCAATAGACCATCCCAGTTACGTTTGAGTCAGTCCCAAATCACCAGGATGACCCTTCGGATTTCTCAGGGTCTTGAGTTTTTGGTTTGGGGTTTTTTTTTTTTGTGTGTGTGTTTTTAATTATTAATTTCAATGAACGTTTACAGAGATTTTGGATTTCCATTCTTTCATTGTTGCACTTTTCTCACTGCCCACCCTATCCCCCAGTACGCTCTTTGAAAAGTAAAATTCCTTCATTGATATACAATCCCCCCACACCCTCCCACTCCCACCCCAAGTGTACTCCACTCTGCAACCTTCATTCTGAACTTTTAGGATAATCATAATGCCCTGTAATATATTGCTTTTAAACTGTTCTCTGCCTCATCTGTTTCAATGCAGTATACATAATTCATCCAGTTTTTCTCATTCTTACCCCTACCCTGATGTCAGTCCCATTCTACAGCAGTGGCACTGTGCAGTGTTTGTCCTTTTGTGACTGAGATATTTCACTCAGCATAAGGTCCTCCAGGGTCACCCATTTTGAATAATATTGCATGAGTTCCTTATTTTTCAGTGCCGTGTAGTATTCCATTGTGTGAACGTACCAGAGCTTCTCTATCCATTCGTTTGTTGATGGGCACTTAGGTTGTTTCCAACTCCTTGCTATTGTGAACAAAGCTGCGATAAACATGGGTGTGCACATATAGGTTCTTAAGTTTTAATGGAAGGAAACTACCCATTTTTTTTCCATGAAGTTGCCCTTGAACTCATATAACAGCAGACCTCTCATTTAAAAGCCCAACATTTGACAAGAAGCTGTGCTGCAATCCTGAAGGCACGTCATTCAAATCCACTAAATGTTCCGCTGGAGAAGGAGGGGCAATCTCCTTCTGTGCCAATTGGATCTAATTCTTACACAATAAGAAAGGAAAAAAAGAGAGAGAGAAAAGCCTAACATTTAACCTGAGTTTGAGGAGATAGTCATTACCATGAAGCATTACCTGATAAAGCAATGAATACTTTTCTACCTTTAATTCTGTTTGGGTTAAATTATGGAGTCTTCTGTTCCCCTTCTGGTCTGACTAGCTCAAGACATTCATTTGTTATTGTGCAGACTAAATTAGGAAGCTAAAACCATGTGTTCATAAATTTCATGTGGGTGAGATTATTAAAAAAAATTTAATTGGCTTTCTGTTCTGATTATTTTTCATGTATAATCAGAAAATTGTTTTCACGTTACACACCTATGATAAATGTAGAAAATGTTACCATTTATTTGATGATAACTTTTAGAAAGTCAGGACAGATATTTCTTTTTCCTTTTCAGGTACAGTAACATTATAACCTTAAAATATGGTATCAGTTTTATCTTAATTATGGAAAATCATAATCTGCTGTCCTCTTTCTTAGATGAGAATGAAGAGTTAAAGAAACTTGCCGAGAATGAAATAACTTTGTGTCAAAAAGAAATAACTGAACTGAAACATCAGGTATGGCATTTGCAAAGAATGAAACATCTGTGCCATTCTACTACTTTTTATTTCAGCTTTATAAAAACAAGTAAAAAATGGAATTGGTTTGGTACTATTGTGACACTGTGAACAGCTGATCTGAATTTTTCCTTATCTGTGCTATCATGAAATAATTACCTTTGCTATTTAGAATAATAAACTGCTCTTTAAGGCAGAAACAAAAATATACTTATGGTTTTGTTTACTCATACTAAAAGTATTGAACATACCATGGACTGCCGAGAAAATAAATAGGTCTGTCTTGGAGAGGGTGAAGCTGAGTTTCTCCTTGGAGCCTAGGATTTTGAGGCTTCCTCTCACATTCTTTGGCCAGGAGAGACCAGTCCCTCTGGAAGGACATCATGCTTGGAAGGATGTAAGGCCAGCAAAGGAGAGGAAGATCCCCAATGAGCTGGATTTATACAGTAACTGAGGCAAAGGTGGTTGGTGTGTCATAATTAGTGAGACTGGTTGAAGACAGGGCAGGGTTCACAGTTGCTGTACATTGAGTCACTGTGGGTCACAAGTGACTCGATGGCACATAACAGCAACACAACAACAAAAGTATTGGATATGTCTGAAAGAAAGATTGTTGTTATATGAACATTTTTTAGAAAAGGCAATGAAATAATTGGTATTATAGTCTCCTCTTGTTTTGACAAAAGTGAGGCAGAGAAAGTGTGACCAGAAATGAATAGATGGGAGATGGTCGGCCCCTCTGAATCAGGAGTATGTGCCTTCTGTCTCTGGAACGATGAGGGTACAGACGTAAGATGTCGTGGTGGTGTTGATAGGTGCCGTCAAGTCCATTTAGGCTTCGTAGTGTCACCATCCTCATAAGAGAAGAAAACTGCCCAGTCCTGTGCCGTGCTCACAGTTTCTGCTCTTTGAGCCCGTTGTTGCCTTCACTGTGTCAGTTCATATGACTGAGGGCTTTTCTTTTTTGCAGATTCTTCACCAGGTATGTTGTCCTCCTTCGGGGACTAGTCTCTTCGGGTAGGAAGCCCAAAGTACATGAGACAAAGCCTCATTGTCCTCTCAGAGCATTCTGGCTGTAAGACCCTGAGTGGATGTTCATATTTTAAGAACTGACTTGAATTGCTCTGACTTCACATGCTAGAAGACTGCTGAGGAGGTAGATCAGTCTATGAAATTAGAAGTAGGCTTGGTTCTTCGTTCATTTGACAGTCGTTGTTGTTGCTATGATGTGTCATCGAGTTGCCTGTGACTCATAGTGACCTATGTACAACGGCTTTGAACTCTGCTCTATCCTGAGCCAACCTTACTGTCTCCAACATGCCTACCCCCATTTCTCCAGTCACTGAGTCAATCCATCTCATCCAGGGTCTTCCCTCCTGCGCTGTCCCTCCACCCTCCCAAGCATGATGTCCCTCTCCAAAAACTGATCCCTCCTTGCAACATGCCCAGAGTATGTCAGACGGAGCTTCAGAATCCTTGCCTCCAAGGAGCAGCGTGGTATCACCGTCTCCAGGACAAACCTGTTAGTTCTCTTAGAAGTCCATAGTATATTCAGTACTCTTCTCCAGAGCTTAAATATTTACAGCCTTCATCTCTAGGGATATAAGGAGAAGAACATGTTAAAATGCAGAAGAAGGTAGCAAGGGTCTTAGTTGACAAATTCTGTGTCATCTCTAGATAAATGCGGGATTTCTTGAAAACCAAACTTACCTCACCTCTACCCTACAGAGAAAAGGTTCGTTACAGGGTGAAGATTTTAGTGTAGCTTACCTTCTTCCCACTTCCTAATTTTTTTTTTAATATTTTTTTTTTATGAAACAATAAAATCTGTGTTAAAGATACCTGTTCACAGACAGGTACCAGAGAAGTAAAAGCTTCAAGTTGTAGTTCAACTTTTCAGTGATTATGTTGTATCACCATAAGCTTTACTGTTGTCATTTGACGCCATTGAGTTGGTCTGGAAGTGTGCTGACCCTGTGTCCAGCAGATAAAGCACTGTCCAGTCCTGTGCCGCCCTCCCAGTGGTGGCTCTTTTTGAGCCCCTTGTTGTAGCCACTGGGTCGGTGCATCGGCTAGAAAGATGGGAAGGTAGGAAGTAGCAGGTGCGGTCCTCAGGCAGCGCAAAGTGTGAAAGTTAGAAATCGGAGTGTGGGGCGTAGCTCTTGTGCTTCTGCTGTAAGAGACTGAGACACTCTAGCACCCTGCGTCTCTGTATTGCAGATAGAATCCTGCTATAACATGCACTGGCAGTGGGTGGCTGTCACTAACAAGTTGACTTTCTCACAGTTTGGAAACTGGCAGTTCAGATACAAGGCACCGGCTCTAGAAGGCGGCTTTCTCTGTGGGCTCTGACGGCTTCTCTCCTTGGCTTCCTTCCTTGCTCACCTTCAGGAAGCATCACATCTGTCTGTCCCCATCTCTGCTTGTTTGCCTGCTCAGTGTGTCCTTTATATCCCAGAAGAGATTAAGATATACCCTAACCTAATCTTATTTCATGAAAATAACAAATGGATTTATAAGCACAGGTTTCGGGGGTTTTAGGACTTATAATACATATTTTCTGAGAACACAGTTCAATCTGTGCTCCCTTCTAAACGTCATTTTCACATCTTAAGGAAGAAATGATAAAAATACATACCCAAAATTATTTTAAGAATTGAAGTACTTAAATTGCTTTGAGTACTTGACACTTGGTTGGAAAAAACCCCAAAAAATATGGATAGCTTTTCTTACCAGTTCACTTATTGCTAAATGCCTTTTCAGGTGAGCCCTTAGCTGGCCTATAGTATTGTGATGGAAGGGGGACCAGGCTAAGAGTCCTGGGACTTGGCTTCTTGGGCCTGCATGCCATAACTAGAACCAAGCCATATCACTTCTGCTACTCCCCGTTTCTTTTACATGTCAAGTGAGAGACTTAGAGCAGATATGTCTAAATGCCTTCCAGTTCCAAAATTGCAAGTTTCTTTCCCATTTTAAGATGGCTTAAAAATATGAATATAATTTGAGTGGTTTTTGTTTTCTGCCTGGGGCCTTATATTTTAAGAGAATACAACTAAAATCTTCTATTTCTTATGCATACATGTAATAGAATATCCTATTTATGTCAAGTACTTAATTCTTATTACTTCTGTAGAAAATTGATATAAAGATTATGTGGATTCCAGAAACAAATAAACATACACCTATACATTTTTGGAATCAGGAGTGGCATCCACTTCCTAAACATGCCTCTGGAAACTCTATGAACTTTGATAAATGTCGATAGTTGTAGAGGGGCTTCAGGCCTTTTGTTCATAGGGTCGCTATGAGTCATGCTCGACTTGATGGCAATCAGCAACAACAACAGTTAGAAAATATGCAACTCTATGAACTTTGATAAATGTTGATAGTTGTAGAGGGGCTTTGGGCCTTTTATTCATAGGTTCACTATGAGTCATGCTTGACTCGAAGGCAATCAACAACAACATTTTTACTTAACCCTTTTGTGGTGGCCTAGTGCTCAGGAGCTACATCCTTAACCTGAAGACACACAATTGAATCTACCAGCTATTTCACAGGAGAAAGATGGGCTTTCACCTTCAAAGAGATTTACTGCCTCTAAAAACCTGCTGGAGGATGAGCTGTGAGTCAGTTCCAATACATGGACAGGCAGCATTTATAGTTGCAACAGTGATATTTTCTGGACATTATGCATGAACTGTTAAATAGTATTTGATGACAAGAGGGATGGTGTTTTTTGTGTTTGCAGATTATCTTACTCTTGGTTCCCTCAGAAGAAACAGATGAAAATGATCTTATCCTGGAAGTAACTGCAGGAGTCGGGGGTCAGGAGGCAATGCTGTTCACGGCAGAGGTATTTGAGATGTATCAGCAGTATGCTGCGTTTAAAAGGTGGCATTTCGAACCTCTGGAATATGTTCCAAGTGAAATAGGTCAGTAAACCATTTCATTTCTTTGGGGTGAAATACAGATTTATGTACATGTCCTAGAAAAAAGGATTGGGAAGGCCATTGTTAGACTTCAGAATGTGTTTGCAAAAGTGCTTATGTAGTTTTATACTCATCATTTACCTAATAATTTTGACTATAAATTTACCAATTTTTTAAAAATTTTATTAGTTTTAATGAACATTTACAGAGATTTTGGGTTTTCATTCATTCATTGTTGCACTGTTTTCTCTACCCTCCTCCCCACTTCGTTCTTTTTTTTTCGCCCCTTGAATGTCTGTTTTAATTGTCCAATTGCCATAGTGCTTGTCAAAGCCAGTTCTGATTAATCTCCTTTGTCAGTGTGTCCTTTGCCGTTCCCTATCACTCCTCCCTGAGAGAGACTTCACCCTGATTCATAAGGACAAGGGGACGGCGTATTCTCTTAGCTA